AAAATCAAAAGCTCTAAGAAGAACCCCAAGCGAAAGAAGGCTGCGGCACCTGCTGAAACGAGCAGTGATGAATCATCTGTCCCCTTGAATGACGATAGCAATCTGGAAAGTGAAATTGATTCGCGTGTAGACGATATTGTAGATCGGGTGGCAGCTGCCGTGGGGGATTTTGCCATTATTAAATTCAGTAGAAGGCGTGGTGGAAACGCGTTGCATTACGTCGGTAAAATTCTTGACAAGGACGACGACTAGAAGGAATTTGAAGTTATATTTATGCAAAGAATCCCGTCGAAAGCAACAAATTCCGCTTTTGTTTTCCCCGAAGATGAAGAAAGCACATTCGGGCTGGATGAAGAAGATGTAGTCTGTCGCCTTGAAGCTCCAGTTAAAGTTGGCGGCACGGCAAGAGCTTCCAGACACTACCGATTTAGTGAAGATCTCACACAATGGAATATCCAGTAGCTTTGAAGGACGAATAAGGGCTCGATATTTTAGCAAAATTTCTTTCCTGATGGTGTTTTGTTCTTTATAAATTATTTCCTCCTCAGTGTCCCACTGTGACCCAACCACCGTCCCACTGTATACCGACGTCGGGGCACAGTGGGACAAAATTTTTTTTTTAAAAACCTGGCTCACAGGAAAAATATTCCCATTGAGCAAATTCTTTGGTAAGAAATAAAAAGTTCGTTTCTCTTACAATGTAGTCATATGCTTCAGAAGTTGAAATAGCGTAGTAAATAGTTCGAAAATCGCCAAAGAAAAAAAAATGAGGGCCACTGTGCCCCACTCTCCCCTACATTAAATCATACAAATGCCCACATTAAAGCATTGGGGCAAACATGGAAAGCAATAAAAGAGACTTTTAAACCATCGGAATATGAGATTACATTTCAAAATATGCCTCATGCGGGACATTCAGGCTTTGGGAATTTCAATATTAATATATCCTAAAATCGATTAATCATTTAAACTTGGTCAGAGAAAAGATATTATTGGAACACAAGCCTCCTTCAAAGCAAGCAAAAACAACGATTATGTTATTGCCAAAAACGAAGTTGAAGATAACTTCGTGAATGCTTTGTCGTTCATCAATCATCCCATTTTATCAGCGCCGTAGGCCTATGTTAGCTTTTCACTTAGGAATGTTTTGGAACGTTGTATGAACCATATGCTACATAAAGCGTGTGATTCCAATGCTTAGAGACAAATCAATACCGTATTCTCAAACAATAAGACAACATTGGGTCGATTATAGGAATCCTGCTCAACCAAATATAGCAGAACCCACTCAGAATACTAATAGATATAAATCGGGAAGACATCGAGAATGTTGTCATGCCCCCCACGTTTCCAATTCCCATCCGAACGTATACCCCATTCTTTCTTCCTAATTTTTGGCCTCTCTTGGTGATTTGTGTTAGTTTTCATTGATGTTTTTATAAATTTTGGTTCTGTATTCAAATGTACATGTACTTAAAAAAAAGAAAAAAAATATATATATGCATAAAAAAAATCTAATTTTTCGCATATACAATATGTTTATTTTTATTTTCGTCAAAGATAATGTAACAACATCTTAAAATATCGTAACGAACAATAGAAACTTGTTTTACTATATTTGCAGTAGACTCGATTTTTAATGTTTTTTGCACTTTGCAATTTTTTTCTTGTTTCGAAATTTTCAATGATTTTATTCTATTTTTAGAATTTATAGGCACGATAATTATGTCTAAAAACCCAGAATTCCATTCCAGAAGAAGAGAATATTTATAGGGAAAGATTAGGAATTTGAACTAACATTTTCAAATGCTTAGAGAAGCATCGCAAGACAGACCTTGGCGCTTAACGTTCAGAGCAACGACTGAGGATCGCAGGCGTGACGTCTTTTTTCAACCGCGAATTTGGAAGTCGGAACAGATCAGACTCATGAAAGTCGGTAATGGAAGTCTAAAATCCATAACCCATCTCCAGACTCTAAAAATAATAATTTTGTCTTATTCTTCGACTCTGACACTACCTTTCAATAAGAACAAGCTTTTTGCTTATCACTTAACTTTTCATTTTAGCTCAACGCATGGGATTAGAGAAGGTAAGCTGATTTGAGTTGGACATTAAATATTAATTTATCCCATATATATATAACTTGTATATTCACTTAAGGTAAACAGATTTATTATGGGACTATATATTATTAAAAGCAATTCATTGTCTATAATGTTACGTTGTAAATGTAAACGATAAGGTTTTAAAAAATTGCAATTTTTCGTAGATTATGCCTCCATATGCAGCGCATTATTGTAAACCATTATGATTGTAGCCTAAATTAGTAATTTTATCGGTTGCCTTTCCTTTCACAACAACCCGACACGCGTGCAGTGTTTCTTGAATTTCACCCGGCTTGCCACCAACGAGGTTGAACTGTTCCATTTACTCTCACTTCAATAAAATTATTTCGAAAGTTATTTCTTGTTGAAAAATATAAAAAGAAGTTTTCATGAAGACTATAGGGAAGCCTCGATCGGAATCAATGATATACAAGAAGATCGACCATATTACCATCTCTCAATTACGTTCTATCGGTCCACGTTTGATATCTTCACGGATTCACACAACTACATGTAAAATGCTATAGTCCAATGATAGGACAAATCACGCTCCGTATTGGAATATCGTGATTGTTACCACATTAGTAAATACTCTGCACGTAGCTACGAGTGACAAAATATGGAAGGGAGCCTGCATGAAGCCGAACTATGCTAAGATGGACACGCTTCTCGAGCGAGGCAATTCGCATGTCACTCACGATCTCGAGAACGAAATGATAAAATTTTCAATGACCCCTATGTGGTTTACCAGAAAAGTTTGGAATCCTTTCTTCAACAGGATTTCATCAACATAGTCGAAAGTCCATTCTCGAAGGAAGCCAAATATTTACCAAAAGATAAAAGTCATCATTGAAGATTTGTGAGATGATATTTATTGCTGAGAATTGACTTCGGAATATTCAAAATAAAAGCTGGTATTTTTTTGTAAAGTATCAAAGACCTAAAAGTGAAAAATAGTGAAACTTGCATTTATGTCTAGACAGTCAACTGTATGGTAGTGTTCTGAAAATGAACAATTACGAGTGTGGATAATTCAGATATTTTTGAAAGAAGATTATGATTGAGATAGGCAATGATAAGCAATGATCACTGATATATATACTCTTTCGTATGAAATTAGCTACAACGTTTTGATAGCTCGGACACAAAAAATATTGAACCTTCATGAATGACCATGATAGAAAGTTGGGACACTCTTCACTTGCACATACTTATTTTCATGAAAATATTAAACAGCTACAATATTGCTATTGCTCCTGCAGCTGCTGATTGTTGTTGAGCCGGCAGTTAATCTCTCTCCACCTGTTCTACATCTATTGTTGGTGTGTCGGGTTCTGTAGCATGCACAGCAAATTATTTTATTTATTTATTTTTCAAATGGCTGTTTACACTCTGACATCTGCATGCGCATGTTCCCTTTTTGCTTAACGTCGGATTTTTGACATTACACATGCATGATCTTTGTTTCTATATGGGTGGTGTGATACCTTATGAGGGTTGTAGACCGTATAGTTTAGCTCCTGTACCTATTATTGTAATTAGGCGACCAGTGGAGATATATTGGATTCTCCCCTTCATTTTAATTTGTTGTGGTATTCTATGATTTGTTTTGTGTGTATACAAAATTTTATCCTAGGTTGAGGTTCTGCTGTGAAGTTGATGTGAAGGCCAACATACGAATGGTCAGTGTGGTTTGAGAGTTTCTGCATGATTTGCGAGGAATTCACCCTGTGTCCCAACCATATTTCAACTCTGGTCTTTGAACTAGCGTTTTATAGATAGATAACTAATAATCAATATCTACTCGAAATAATAATTAATTCTAAACAAAAGTGTAGGGTAGTGCTGTTTCCAAATATGTAACCCTTGAATATCCTACTCGCAGATTTGTTTTCTGTTTTTCAGGTCGTTCTGTGATGATCAATACAATGGCTAGTTTATTGAATATAAATGGTGTCTACAACAACAAAATTCGCAGGCTGATGTCTCATCCACGATAAACTTGAACCTATTACGCCATAATAATTAAATGAAGAAATGATCCTGTGAAATAACAATACTAATTCCTTTATTCCTAATTCCTTTATCCTTGCAGAAGTCAATATCTAAGAATGAAAAAAAAAACCTTATAACCTTAGCAACCAACATATTCCTATACCCTGTCTTTCTACCTTAATTAATTATAATTACTCATACTTATAAAGTTACTGATAGATTTAAATACTTATTGCAATCTGGACTACAATTTGGCAATAATAGGCTCTAGTTTGGGCAATGAAGTGGTCTAGCCCACCTCTTCATGCACCCAATTCTGGCAACTTTGGTTGGGCATTTTGGCATTTGACTCCATCTATAATCAGCTTGACAATATATTTTTTTATAAAAGTTTATCTTTACTGTTCACTCCCATTTATAAAATTGATCAATTTGGCAGTGGCAATCATGATAAATTTATTAATATGGTGTGGCAAGTAATTTTTATTTATTTATTTTTTATTAACTACCAGTATGTAATTTTTCATGTTCCCTTTACTTAATAACTTCTATATGGTTGTGTGTGTGGGTGCGTGTGAGCGTGTGTGAAATATTTCAATTATTTTAGGTGAGTGAACACGTACCACATCTTCTTGGCAAAACCTTCCATCTTATATACATTCTGTACGTTTTAAACCTTATCTAAGGTTTTGTTCGCTCTCCTGATTTCATAATCAGTTTTTATTTATTTATTTTTAGCATTCATTTTTTTGTTTTGCTGATTATGGAGTCGAAATAAACTTATACTTATAAGTAAAAAAACGTGTCGATTTGTTGTCAAGTTGTCGAAACCTGTCGGCGAAGATCACTCAGCCCAGCTTGCGAAACCCTTCTCCACGCGCGGAAAGAAAACGAATCACGGGAATGCACAAAATATTTATGGCAATAAAATATGAGAGGAAATTTTACATGATTACTATATCAGTGTGGTTATTAATTAAGTTGCTTACAATCAGATACATTAAATATTTACTAGAACAATACAAATGCAAGGGAATTAAGTTGAACTAAAAAGTATCACAAAAATAAAATATTGAGTAAATTAAGAAGTAAAGAAGAGAACCAAATATTTATCATTATGCGAAACAAACCCAAGATTAACCTCGAATCATAGCAAAAACAAAATACTGTAACACAGCATATCATAGGGGGCTATAGTTTATAGCAATCGTTAAATATGAGATAAATAATGATAAAATCCAAATTGTGTGATTCACTTACATACTAAATTCATGAAATGTAAAATGATTGTTAATAATCAGATGTTTTTAATAATTTCTATCACACGAACACGAATCTAATAATAATAATTTCTATCACACGAAGTTTTCAACATTTTCTATTTTTGCAATCTACAGATTAAAAGGACCTACAAAGGACAGTACGGCATGAATGCGAATATTTGAAAAATACAATGAGGGCTGTCTGAAAGGTAATCCAAAATTGAAACGAAACAATTATCTGCCAGGGATTCAGTAGTTCAACTGAATATTGGAGTTCGCCAAATTGCATAAATATTAAAACAATCTTCTAACTTGTGTGGTATGCTCATAAACTTAGTCAGATTTTACTTTCCAATTACAACTTTTATCGGCTGAGGGAAAATCACCAGTGTTGGTTGTAAATTATACAAGTTGGATTAACATATTCGAATAATATATCTCACGTTCTACTACATAATTAATAAATGCCCTTGATTTTTAGAAATTCGCACACCATATCGTAATTGTTCATGTGGTCGGTTTAGGGCCGACGGACACTAAGGGTAAGCAATTGACATTTGGTTTTGCTGTAAAATTTAAGAACGCATATCCAAGGGGAGGCAAAGTTTTTTTTTTCGTCATATGTTTGCAAATTTATCTGATACAATCAAGGTCAAGGGAGTCATCAATTGCCTAAGACTAGTTCAAAATTTTGTGTATATATTAAAGTTTCATTAAAGTTTTTGGAGCATGCTCCCGGTGTGGTGCATTCCGCTAAACGTTAGGAATATGCTTGCCACGGCACCTCTAATTACCCTGCACGGATTACCAGGTTTGAATCCTGTGGGGTGGTACCTTATTTATGTGAGAGGGGATCGCTGGACTCGTCTCCGTGGTAGGGTGGTCATGCAACCGCTGGTCAGTTACAGTATGTCTTCCTCCACCACCAAGTTCATGCATCTAAAAACAAAATAACTGGCTAAATAATCACAAACCGACATGGGATGGTAACCGGTCGAGAGGCCGTGGTTCACCATATGACGAAAGCCATCCTAATGGCTTTCCCCTTCCCCGGGATAAATATATAAATCCTATCCTATCCAAACGAGAAATACCAAGACTGTTTCCAAGTAAACATAAATTATTAAGGTGACAAGTCCCTGGTGTAGGCGAATGTTCCCAGTCCTGGTGTACCGGTATAATTTCAGTGAAGCATGACCCATAATAGAACAAAAATTTTTGAATTGAGAGGAAACCAAGTAGAAACCACAATATTATACATAAAAATATTTCACCACAATTATCAATAGCAAAATTAGTACCTACACTTGACAGTCCTAAAAACTGGTGCAAATGTTACATGCTTGAACTAAGCACATATAGACTTACAAAATAAGCAACAAGGCAGCAGACAACTTTGTTTTAGCCAAAGAGTGTACTTTTATTATAAAAATTACCAACTAGGCAAAAAAAAAGTAGAACCGGTCCTGTTTGGAACCTGTATATGAACATGAATATCAAGCAGCCTTCTCACTTGCTTTTTCTTCCGGTCCTCTCTCTTTCTTGGAGTCTCCTGTATATATAAAAATGTTGAATTTTCTTCAATCAACTTCAAATACAGAAAAACAAATATTACAGTGATACCTCTGTAGTCGAATATAATCCGTTCAGGATTGGTGTTCGACTACTGATTAATTAGATCACAAAACTTTTTTTGCCATAAGAAACATTGGTAATTATTTTAATTCATTGTTTCGCATTCCAAAACACGCAACTCGTTTTTGTGTGCGATAACGTCGTAAAAAAACGATAGTCTACTGTGACAGATTGCATACCAGTACTACTTCGCTTAAGCCTTCGTGGCCATATATTTGAGCATAGTTGTCTTGTTGAATGGTCAAGAGACAGCCGATATTCACAGCTTCGGGTGACATCATCTCACTTGGCTGTGAGCTCGGATGTTCGAGCACCGCAGCAGTTTTGACTAAAATTCCATGGTCAACTACCAAAATGTTATCGAGCCGTTTGACTACAAGGATACCACTGTAATTCAAACTCACAAATCTGTATCGCATTGTACAACTCATGCATCATCGTACAACTCATGCATAGTGTACTAACTGGATGATAAGTTTTTTTTAAAACTGTGTTCCACCTTCTGCTATAACATGCAACAAGGTTGTACGTGATTGCCACTAGGTAAACTCATGTTGATAATAAATGAAGCACAACCGGTGTTAGCAAAACGATGTAGTTTGCCGACGTTTCGAATTTCTATACAGAAAAACTTCATCAGGGCATGATATGGAAAGGACACAAGTGGATATATATAGAGCAAGAAAAAGAAAAAATATGAAAAAATTGTCATGGCGTCAACTCTAATCTAAAAGGATGATGATAAGGTAATATGTATAAATAAACAAACTAGCGCAAGTTCAAACAAAAAGGGGACTATTTAAACAATGATTTATATACAGGCGGGAAAAGTGTGGTTTCATTGTCATTCATCGAATTATTCTCTTTATTCATGTGATAAGATTCGAGAAATAACCTTCTCCTGTAATGAGTTTCTTTTTCTAGTATCCTGCTGTTTTCCCAGTCGATGCTATGGTTATTAGAAATGGCGTGTTTCGAAAGGGCCGACTTATCAATTTTCTTTTGTTTAATATCTCGTAGATGTTCCTTGCTGCGAGTTTCCAGGCTTCTTTTGGTTTCTCCAATGTAGACTGAAGAACAATCGCGACATGGGATTGCATATACAACTCCGTTTTTTAGTTTAGGGCATGGGCGGTCTTTGACGTTGGAGAGCAATTGGCCGATAGTGTTTTGGGGTTTAAAACTTACTCTGATTTTAACGTCTTCCAAAATTCTTCGAATTTTTTCACTTAGTCCTTGGACAAATGGAATGGTGGTAGATGCGATTGGTTTGGGTTTATCAGGCGGTTTTTGGAGATTTACATGATTTCTGAACATTTTCGTTGGAATATCCATTTTGTCGTAAAGGCTTCTTAATGAAATTTATTTCTTGTTTTTTTCCTAAATATATCAGTCGTCAATTCTCCATTTCCTTCTCTCTGTATCTGGACATCTAAGAAGGCTATTGTCCCATTGACTTCTTTTTCTATGGTAAATTTTATGCTTGGTTCGATCGTGTTGATGTGGTCGTGGAAGGCGTCACAAGATTCCTCTTTGATTATGTTGAACGTATCATCAACATATCTTTCCCAGATTCTTGGGCCATTCGGAAAAGACGTTAAGGCTCTTTCTTCCACATCTTCCATGACCATATTGGCAACAACGACCGAAACAGGAGAACCCATGGCTGTACCGAAAATTTGTTTATAGTGCTCCCCCCTAAAGCTCAGATTGGCCGCACTTAAGCAAATAGTTAAGGCTTCGCAAATTTGGTCAATTGATAGTTTCGTCCTATCTTTCAGGTTATTATCATCTTCTAGTCGTTTCCGAGTTACTTTTAGCGCTACATCAATTGGAACATTGGTAAAGAGTGAAACTACGTCGAAAGATACCATTATCTCATCTGGGGCGATAGTGGTCTGTAGTATTTTATAACGTGTCTCTCTGAATTTCCTACAAGTGGGCTTATCAATTCACTGACGAATTTGGAAAGCTTGTATGTTGGGGATCCTATAAATAAAACTATTGGCCTAAACGGGATGCCTTCCTTATGGATTTTGGGTAGTCCGTAAAGGGATGGTGCTGAAGAGTCAGTTTCGACGTAGTTTCACTCTTTACCAATGTTCCAATTGATGTAGCGCTAAAAGTAACTCGGAAACGACTAAAAGATGATAAAATAACCTGAAAGATAGGACGAAACTATCCATTGACCAAAAGTAACTCGGAAACGACTAGAAGATGATAAAATAACCTGAAAGATAGGACGAAACTATCAATTGACCAAATTTGCGACGCCTTAACTATTTGCCTAAGTGCGGCCAATCTGAGCTTTAGGGGGGAGCACTATAAACAAATTTTCGGTATAGCCATGGGTTCTCCCGTTTCGGTCGTTGTTGCCAATATGGTCATGGAAGATGTGGAAGAAAGAGCCTTAACGTCTTTACCGAATGGCCCAAGAATCTGGGAAAGATATGTTGATGATACGTTCAACATAATCAAAGAGGAATTTTGTGACGCGTTCCACGACCACATCAACACGATCGAACCAAGCATAAAATTTACCATAGAAAAAGAAGTCAATGGGACAATAGCCTTCTTAGATGTCCAGATACAGAGAGAAGGAAATGGAGAATTGACGACTGATATATTTAGGAAAAAGACCCATACTAATCACTACCTTAATTTTAACCCTAGCCACCTGCTTAACCATAAACGTTAAACGTTCAGTGGTTAGTAGTCTTATGAATCGTGCCAAAACTCTTATATCGGATGAAACAAAGCAGAAACAAGAAATAGACTTTAGAAGAAGACTTTACGACAAAATGGATATCCAACGAAAATGTTCAGAAATCATGTAAATCTCCAAAAACCGCTTGATAAACCCAAACCAATCGCATCTACCACCATACCGTTTGTCCAAGGACTAAGTGAAAAAATTCGAAGAATTTTGGAAGACGTTAAAATCAGAGTAAGTTTTAAACCCCAAAACACTATCGGCCAATTGCTCTCCAACGTCAAAGACCGCACATGCCCTAAACAAAAAAACGGAGTTGTATATGCAATCCCATGCCGCGATTGTTCTTCAGTCTACATTGGAGAAACCAAAAGAAGCCTGGAAACTCGTAGCAAGGAACATCTACGAGATAATAAACAAAAGAAAATTGATAAGTCGGCCCTTTCGAAACACACCCTTTCTAATAACCATAGCATCGACTGGGAAAACAGCAGGATACTAGAAAAAGAAACTCATTACAGGAGAAGATTATTTCTCGAATCTTATCACATAAATAAAGAGAATAATTCGATGAATGACAAAGAAACCACACTTTTCCCGCCTGTATATAAATCATTGTTTAAATAGTCCCCTTTTTGTTTCAACTTGCGCTAGTTTGTTTATTTATACATATTATGTTATCCTCATCCTTTTAGATTAGAGTTGACGCCATGATAATTTTTTCATATTTTTTCTTTTTCTTGCTCTATATATATATCCATTTGTGTCCATCCCATATCATGCCCTGATGAAGTTTTTCTGTATAGAAATTCGAAACGTCGGCAAATTACATCGTTTTGCTAACACCGGTTGTGCTTCATTTATTATTATGCAACAAGGTTGTTTTACATTCAGCGTGTTATCACCTCAACATATGCTGATGACAGAAAGCATGGTTGTGCGATGTCTAAAAATGGGTCGAAGATGTGAATTAGAGCTAAGATCTCGAGCCTGAGCCCCAGCCCGACACGTTCGGGATGGGCCTAAAATGTCAAACATTGCGTTCGGGTTGGGCCTGAAAAGTCAATCATTGCGTTCGGGTTGGGCCTGATTTGTCAATCATTAGGTTCGGGTCGGGCCTGAAATGTCAATCATTGCGTTCGAGTCGGGTCGGGTCGGGCTTATATATCGCTGGATTTTTTATAAGTAAATATATGTTTATCAGAAACTATTTTTCAGAGTGGTTCCGATTTCATAAATATTAAATTTCGAAATTTAAAGTTTCGTAGTTCTTTGGATGATGATGCTTATTCATTGCTTTTTACAGCATACCTTGTTTAATTTAATGTACCGCACAAGTAGAGTGCAGCGGTACATTTGACACACGTTTTTGAATGCCTCTTGATGATAATATGTGTGTCGCTAGGGAATTTCTTAGTTTGCCCAGTAAACCCTTTAGCTACCCTCTATCCATTAGCCCCGCATTGTCAAATGAATGTGCAGATTATAGAGCTCACAGAAGAAGAAATATGTCCCAGCATTCCCCTATACTGTACTAACCTCTTGCAATGACAATTCGAAGAACTCCTAAATAAAATATGAAATTTCGGGCCTGCGAATCCAGTTAATTTGTCGGGCCTGCAAATCCATTTAATTAGTCGAGCCTGCAAATCCAGTTAATTAGTCGAGCTTGGGTCGGGTTTTAATGCCCACGGACCCGGGTCGGGCCTGCAAATCCAGTTAATTAGTCGGGCTCGGGTCGGGTTTTATTACCCACAGGCCCAGGTCAGGTTGGGCCTGCAAATCCAGTTAATTAGTCGGGCTCGGGTCGGGTCGGGTTTAATACCCACGGGCCGGAGTCGGGTCGGGCTGGAATTTTTTAGCCCGATCTTACCTCTAATGTCAATGTTCCATACAGAGCCTTCAACATTACCCAGTGTGTTATTGCAGGGCTTCCCAAACTTTTGAGCTCGCGGCCCCTTTCAATATATAAAAATTTTCACGGCCCCTATTAATAATGCTAAACAGTTAGAAATATGCATTTTTGATATCCTATTGACACAGTTAACTCTCAACTATCAGTAGGCCTACTCAAAAACAAATTCCCATTTGCCCACAATAACGTTGCTCGACTATTCAGTGTAATGAGTGCGAATGTTTTATGCTGCATAGCAAGTCCAGCCATGGCTCAATGTTTGGTAATGCAGGTCTCAATGATAATGAATTACGAAGTCTGGCACCCGACGGCATGGTCCTTATCCGGCATTGTTACCCACTACACTTTTGAAAGGCAGCAGTTCGTGCTACAAGTTTCGAGACGCACTAAGCAAATCGCCTTCGGGAACCGATGGCTTAACGATTGAAGCCGTCATCATTTGTCATATCGTCACGCTAATAACCGAATTGCGTAAGTCATTTTTGGCGATTTTGGGTTTTTTATAAAATAGGTATTTATGTGATGCTACGCACCTGTCTGTTAACTCAGTTTTATTTTAAGAATTCCGAAACCCATAAAAATGGAGATTTAGTATGACATGCACATTTGTGCAATTGTTTCGTCATAATGAATTATCATTGTTACTGCATGACTATTGTGACGTCACAAAGGCAAAATAACCTCTGCGAAGTATTTTCGAGTTTTTTCATCTCGGATTCTAGCTTAGCGCGTATTAAATTGAATTTATACTACAGTATAGGAAGACGTGCACTTGTGATAATCACTGTCTGAGTCCAATTCACCTTGGTTGGCTTTTATATTGGGTGCATTGCTGTTTTATTCTAGTCTTATTCCGGTGGGTGTGCAGAACGTGTTCGTCTTTGGAATGTTTAGTTTTCAGGACTGGTGCATATAGTAAAGTTGCAAAATTGCGAATGTCCCCAAGTCATAACCACATTTCTGCCTAAGTCACAGTGTGCCATTATGACGTCACTTAACTGCGTCATACAAATAACTTAAATCCAGCTACGATCAAAAAATTGAACCATGGCAAATTATTGACTCTCAATGGCATAACAATATCATTAGGAAGTTTTTTACGTTTTTCTCAAAACTGCTAAAAATGACTTACGCAATTCGGTTATTAGCGTGACGATATGCAAGCGTGGTGATTTTACCGTGTTTCCCCGAAAATAAGACCTAGCCTGAAAATGCGGCCTAGCCTGAAGTTTAAAAATTATCCTAATATGATCTCGCCATATCCTAACGGATTGGCGTTTCCGAAACACAATACATGGTATAACACGTACAAGCAATATCCAGAAAAAAAAATGACATGTCATAATCGTTTTAATGTACTATCAATTAGCTCTTCAGTGATCTCTTCCATCCTTGGCCAAGTAATGTTTCGAAAATCTGAACCTTCTGCTCAGCCATGCATTGGGGGTGGAGTAGAGAAATCGTGAATAAGAGTATAAAGTTAAATATATTGTGAATTTCGATGTAACAACGCACACTGTTTTGTGACGAATTGTTGTGCCTATTAGCATCGAAAATGATTACATTCGTTATATTTTGAGTATTTTTGCACTAATAATTAGGGTGTGAGTGTGACGTTATCAAAGTCGTCAAATGAAGTGGTGTATTGCAAATTCCGTGAATAAAATTGTAAATTACAGGGTAACATTTTAGCTATAATTATCGTCGGGGTATTGTTTTGGTAAAAAAAGTTAAAACTTGAAGGAATTAGTTATAATTAGCGCCTGACCCTTTATTAGGAACAAAAGCACTCTAGCCAATTTTTTTAGCATTGAGTCGCAAATGTAAAATATCCTCCAAGAAGTGCCGTTTATTAACGCCATCTCGTCTTATGACCTCGCAGAAATGCCTTTGTCTGTCTAATTATTTAATCACTATTTTAAATCAACATTCAGGAATCAGGATTGACGCCGCAATTGCAGATTAGTAAGGTTTATCTGTAAAATAATACAGACAATATAGAAAAGCAGAAGGAAGTTGATTATCATCTTAATAAATATCTGCATCCCGGTATCAATAATAATATTACCATTCGCTTAAAACTGGGACGGCAAATTTACAAACCTTGATAGGTAATATCAAGGCAACGAAAATGTAATTTGGGTTTTGAAATTAGTCATTAATGTCTTCAACAGCTGTTGAGGATGTGAACGCACGCCTAAACTGGAAATATAGAACTTCGACGTCCGCCGACCCGCAAGAATTCATACTTGCAAAAAAGAGATGAGAATATAGATTGTCAAATCCAGGATATCGCCGCCAAAACAATTATAACGAAATTAACCAGTAAAAAAGGCTTTGTTGTCCATTTTTCAATGCTTCAACCGACGTTCTAGACTCCTGTTGGGTATAAAAAATATTCGACTATTCGGAATTCGAATATTCAATTCGAAAAAACTATTCGATTTCACCCTCCCCTACTCGCATATCAATGAGAAATAGTTGAGATTCATTTTTGACCCGGGTCCGAGTTCGATTTATCGTGAATGACTAGACTAGATAATATTGAATATCGCAAAATTCTGGGAAACGCGGGATTCTGGGTGGAATTAAATGGTGATTGGCTATTAACGACATGCAACTTTTAGCTCTTCAAATTAGAGAACGCCACATGATCACAAATCGCACCTTTGGCACTATGTGGTAATTCCAGCGTAACCCAATCGTTGAAAAAATTCTGACTGCGCCCATGGATCTACTGTGACATCTCCTACACCAGGCGATCTCGACTCATGAATGGGAATGAACTTTTGAGTCAGTCTGTGTGACCTTACCTTATAATCTCTAACAAAAATTGGTTCTGACCTTCACTTAGCAAACACAAACATTACATACAGACTGACTGTAATATTATGAGAAATGTCCATTCAGAACTGGGAACAAATAAGAAAACATGAAATCAACAACAAACCTAAACTTGAATCAGGTTTGAGATTTTCTGAAGGATTCGAAACAACAGGTATATTATTTTCATCACTCTTCCCCCAACCAACAACTTCTCTCCAAATAACTTCTTTCCATTTTTCAACAGTGTATTCTGCTTCATCTATACTTTCATCAAATATTTTCGGTGGAGGTCCCTCTACCTCACTCGGATCGTACCTAAAATATGGTATGAATGATACAATGTAACTACTCCTAGATCTGATCTACATTTCAGAAATAACTTATTAAGCAATTGTTATTCTACCATAAACCATAATACTATATCCAGAATAAGAAACGAAAATTTAATATTCGAAATATGTAAGACACAACAACTTGTGTGCAACAACATGTAATTATCTTTCTTTCATAGTTGTAATGCAATATCTCATATTTTACTAACATATTTTCAATGCGATAATAAGATAAATTTAGCCTTGATGCATTGACGATATATATTGTTAGTTTGTTACAGTTGTCAATAACCCAGAAGTAACCAAGCTAAAACATATTCAGCTTGGGGTGATTATACTATACGTTGTAAAACATCAGCATGTAAAATTCTGTCTAAGATAATAACTCTTAATTGAAGTCCAATTCAAGCATGTCCAAGTATATATGCCCAGGTTTTCTGTTGCATTCATAATTTGCTTCAAAATTCAATTTTAATACATCTGAATAGTATTTTCCAAACTTAGAGGCCTCAAACAAACTGCTCATGACACCCCAAATAGGAGCGGAACTGACGAGCTGAAAACAACTGGTTCAAAAAACTGGACAAAGAATTATCTTATGCTATCGAGTATCGACTGGGTTTCTGCAGGAGTGTTCTATGCTTTTGCACCGGTGGATTGCTATACATGCAATGAGTCTGTAGCAAAGAGTGAAGATGACTATTCCAAGTGATTCAAGAGTCTTGCTGCACATGGAAAACAAATATATTTCTGTAATGTTTCAATCGGTCAGATTTCTTCAAATTATGACGAAACGTTAGCGAAATAGTCGTGATGATGCGCAGTAAGATACTTGAATCACTTAAAGTAATTACAGGTACCATTCTTTGAATTATCTTCAGGTCGTTCAATACTCTGTTTGTGTTTCTTAATATTTTTCATTACACATTTCATTTGAAATGAAATAAAATAACTTACCACACATTAATATAGGGATGTTTTAAAGCTTTATCAACAGTTATACGACCAGCTGGATCAACAACCAACATTTGTGCTAATAAATCTCTTGCTTGACTTGCACGAAGTCTTGGATTAGAACTCGAATCTTCAGGAAACAGTTCATCAGGAAAAATTTTATCTATCGCATGCCCACGTTGGAATTGTCGAGCTTGAACATAATTACGAACAGAAGGTTGAAGCTTGTTGATAAAATCCTGAAAACAAAATGATGAAAGTAATTAGGTCTGAGCTGAATAAAACATTGGTACTCGTTTACCACCTAATATTAAAACCGAAATAAAATGAAGCAATGATTTTTTGTGATTAAACCATTTATTTATCTTAAGTTTCAATGCTTTAAAATATTTCACTGAGTCACTTAATTGGCTGGCCGTTTTAATTAATAGCTATTGGATAAGACTCTTGATGTTAAACTAATATTCTGCAATGGATAACCCAGGGTGGTCCAAACCCAGGCCCGTGGGCCATATCTGGCCCGCCGCTTCATTATCTGTGGCCTGCGTCACATTCGGAGAATTATCAAAAAATCGCATTTCGTGTTGTTTTGTAGCCTAATAAAATTAATCAGAAAAATCTTTTGACATATTGTTACATCACTAATGTCACTGAATTGACTAGTGTTATGGCTAGCTGAGGCAACTAGCAAAGTTGAATGATGTGCTTGGCAGTCTAAATTATTAATTGGCCGTCTATCTTTTTGGTCGGGAATATATGCTTACAATATATCATCATAGAAAACTAAAAATAGAATGCGAATTGTATTAGCCTGGGATGGCTATGTATGATAAATATGCGTTTGCAAAATAAAAGTGTTTGTTTTGTATTGTACTGTTCACCTATTCTTGGCACTATTGTGGCCCGCGAACAATGCAAAAATAATTTTGTGGCCCGCGGAGCCAACAACCTTGGACCACCCTGGGATAAACACTATACAAGTTCAACCTTGAGATGAATCGAGAAGGGTAATATTTAATTATACAATATCCTTTTTAAAATTACTTGTGAGGGAGTTCCAAGAAGTTCAGTTATCTTGTTCCATTGATCAATATGGTCATTTCCAGGAAATATTACAACGCCTCTGATCATTTCACCAAATATGCACCCAACTGACCATATATCAACAACTTCTTGATAGCCCATTCCCAGAATTACTTCTGGTGCTCTGAAATATATATTATAAAGTTCTAAAAATGAAAATTCTTTTACGAATACTACATTGATTCAGGGATGGCCAAAACCGAATAGTTCACTATTTCGAATGCAATGGAATAACTGCTATCTACAAGTTACAACCTAGCTATATTACCAGGCATTTCATATTTGCAGATTATTGCAGTATATATTTTAAATACCATGAGTCATGTTAACAGAATTAATTAATACGGCAATAGTGGTATCGAGGATGGATTTGAATATTTGCGCAACACAAAATCATCCTAGGAAAACGCCCATACTTTCAAATACCAACCATTATCCAAATTATTTGCCAAAAAGCGGGATAAAGTATGAGTTATTTTTCCGACTTGTGACAATTTTTTCGTGAGTACAAAAATACGAATCAAAAATTAATTATATTCGGGAACTTTACCACACATTTTAAGTCCGAAGATCGCCGTTGTATGTTTGAATAATAATACTTTTATTATTTTATAAATATGAAAATAGGAATCAAAAACTATTTATAATCGGGTAGTTTACACACATTCTAAGTCCACAGATCGCCGTTGTATATTGTAAATACAAAAATAGGAATCAAAAATTACTATTGATCGCGAGTTTGCCACACAATTTATGTCCACAGATTCTCGATACAATCATGAGTTTCGTTGAACAGAATTAAATTAATACGGCATGACATTTTAAATGCTGGTACCAGTCATGGATTGGATTATTTTGCGCAACAAAAAATCATCCTGGTAAAGGATCGATACTTAGAATCGTTATCAGAATTATTTGCCAGAAATTATTTTCTAATAAATCGACTTGTTTTTCCAACTTGTGACAATTTATTGGATATCGAAACAATGACTGCTATAAATACCGTATTTCCCCGGCTAATAAATCCACATGGAAAATCGGACGATGTCTATATTTAGCACTCCAAAAAGGGTTTTTTCCATATAGACCTCCAACAAGACGGGTAGAAAAATTGTGTCCCTGTTGTTCAGTTATGCTGATATGCGCTAATAATTTTAAATGTTTAGAACCAGATCATGTTAGTTTGGTAGAATCATACTCACAGAATTAACTATTTTTAACGGTGATCGTACATTTGAACCCATGTGTATATCCACGGGTTCAATCTATATGCGGGTGCTAAAACCCATGGGTTAGGGTTAGTATGGGTTCAACTATCCGAAAAACAAAAAAAATTCCATAGGTGCAATAGCATACAGGTGCAATTGTCATGGGTTCAAATGTACGTGGGTTGAAATGTAATGGAACCATTTTTAACAATTGAGCGGTAAATTTAAGTTGTAAAGCGACAATCATTTTGGACAACCTATTAACCCGAATGTTGAAATAATTTTTGAATTTGATAAGTAATACACTGTACGTCCACTGGTTATTTCACAGCTGTGTTTTCCTGTCGTGTTCTGCTGAATCGGCAAAACGAAAGGGTCACAAATGGCTTTATCTCGGTGGCCTAGAAAAGCGACTTATTAACGGGGGAAATACGGTAATTTTTCGACGTAATGGAAATGAATTTGTAAATTAGAAGCCTCGTAGACAAATTTCGGCAATGTCCACCCACGAAACACCACGTTTACGGCGAAAAGTGGCTACTATTCGGAATTATTCGAAAATCAGCCAAAAAGATATTCGAATACATTCGAATATTCGATTCGTTTTGGACAACCCTGTATTGATTTGATCGAAAATTGAAAATTCATTTCAAGGATGGCCAATACCGAATAGTTCACTATTTCGAATACATTCGAAATTATTTTTTTCGAATATGAAATTTCGAATACTTCGAAAATTGTAGGAATTTCCATACAATAAGCAATGGAATAACTGCTATCAGGAAGTTACAACCTAGCTTTATTACCAGGCATTTCATATTCCAGTATATATTTTATATACCATGAGTCATGTTAACAGAATTAAATTAATACGGCAATAGTGGTATCGGTGATGGATTTGAATATTTGCGCAACACAAAATCATCCTAGTGAAACGCCCATACTCTTAATTAAACACCAACCATTATCCAAATTATTTGCCGATAAGCGGGATAAAGTATGAGTTATTTTGGTTATTGTGAGTACAAAAATGCGAATCAAAAATTAATTATATTCGGGAACTATACCACACATTTTAAGTCCGCAGATCGCCGTTGTATGTTTGAGTAATATTACTTTTATTATTTTATAAATAGGAATCAAAAACTATTTATAATCGGGTAGTTTATCACACATTCTAAGTTCACAGATCGCCGTTGTATTTTGTAAATACGAAAATAGGAATCAAAAATTAATATTAATCGCGAGTTTGCCACACAATTTATGTCCACAGATTGCCATGATATTGTGTCGAATATAATTAGTTTTTAATTCTTATTTTCGTACTCACGAAAAAATAGTCACACGTTGGAAAATAATTTATACTTTATCCCGCATTTTGGGAACTAATTTGGATAATGGTTGCCATTGGTTTGTATTTAAAAGTATGGACTTTTTACTAGGATGATTTTGTGCTGCGCAAAATATTCGAATCCATGACCGATACCTCTATTTGAAATGCCTTACCGTGTTAATGTAATTCTATTATCATAACTCAAATGTTGGTAAATCGGGCAGTTTACCACACATTTTAAGGCCACAGATCGCCGTTGCATTTTAGAAATATAGTTTTATTATTTTGTAAATATGAATCAGAATTTAATTCTAATTGGGCAGTTTACTACATATTTCATGACCACAAATACCCGTGGTATTTGGTATTAATACTTTCATTATTTTATCAATATGAAAATAGGAATCAATATTTAATAATATCGGTCAGTTCACCACACATTTTATGTCCACAGATTGTCGATACAACCATGAGTTACGTTGAACAGAATTAAATTAATACAGCATGACATTTTAATAAATGCTGTTACCAGTCATGGATTGGATTATTTTGCGCAACAAAAATCATCTTGGGTAAAGGATCGATACTTTTAACTATCGTTATCAAAATTATTTGCCAGAAATTATTTTCTAATAAATCGACTTTTTTTTCCAACTTGTGACAATTTATTTGATACGTAACAATTACGGCTATAAATACCGTATTTCCCGGCTAATAAGTCCACATGGCAAATAGGACGATGTCTATTTTTAGCACTCAAAAAAGGGGTTTTTCCATATAGCCATAGGCCTCCAATAAGACGGGTAAAAAAATTGTGTCCCTGTTGTTCAGTTATGCTAATATGCGCTAATAATTTTATATGTTTAGAACCAGAGCATTTAACTATATTTAACAATTGAGCGGTAAATTTAAGTTGTAAAGCGGCAATCATTTTGGACAACCTATTAACCCGAATGTTGAAATAATTTTGAAATGTGATAAGTACTACACTGTACGTCCACGGGTTATTTCACAGCTGTGTTTTCCTGTCCCTGTCGTGTTCTGCTGAATCGGCAAAACGAAAGGGTCACAAATCACTTTATCTCGGTGGCCGTGTTTCTCTTTAAAGTAACGATAACCGGCCTGCGATTAAATATCATGATTGGCAGGCTGTAAGACCCAAATATAAGGTTACACAAATCATGTTTGAGAAGACTCATGCGAATAAAAAGCAGGCCACATCGAAATAAAATAAACATACTTTCTCAATTAGACGCCCCCACCCCGCCTAGAAAAGCGACTCATTAGACGAATTTTTGACGTAATGGAAATGAATTTGTAAATTAAAAGCCTTGTAGACGAATGTCGGCAATGTCCACCCGCGCAAACGTGCAAATATGTTGCAACACTATGCGACGTACCGTCGCACAGAATATAAACAATCAAAATGCCGATTCTATTTCATCGTCATTACAATACGTGAGACAGCGTAAAAAGTCGTTTGAATATTCCCGTAAAACGAAACACCACGTTTACGGCGAAAAGTGGCTACTATTCGGAATTATTCGAAAATCAGCCGAAAAGGTATTCGAATACTTTGATATTCGAATACATTCGAATATTCGATTCGTTTTGGACAACCCTGTTCATTACATTGTCCAAATTGTACAATATGGTGGTGAACATGCAACAACAATGCATAAATTTCTGTGCTGTGATGAACAAAACCACAGAAATGTTCCGTCATCCGTGATTTATCCATAGAGTGAAATATGCGAATATGTAACATTTTTATATTTAACAATACCGCCGGATGAGAGCAAAAGGGGTTTGGGGTTTTGAGCTATGCTCTACAACAGCATTTCCCAACCTTTCTTGGTCGCGGACTATTTTCTCACCGGCGAAAACCTTTGCGGAGTCAACGTGTGTTTATTGCAAGCGTACTCTGTGTGAAGAAGTAGTAAAACCAAACACAACAGAATTTTAACGAATTTCAAAATCGGGAATTCACCGCAATTACGCGTTTGAAAAAAAGCTTTTTTAGTGTTTAAATCGCCTTTTCTGTCACACAATATTCAATCCATGACAACGACGAGAATTTTGAATGTCTTTCTATCTTAATTTAATTGTGTTCAAGGTCACTCGCGGTTGCGTCGACTTATGACAAGATGTAAGCATGACCTCTTTAAAATGCCACGGCAATCTGCGAACATAATAATGTGAGAATATATTGCCCGATTATATTTAGTTTTGATACATATTTTTTGCGATCTTGCGAATTTATTATCGCCGTTAGAAAAATCCTACTATCTGCTATAAATTTTCAGATAGTACAACTTGATTTAGTATTAATTAAAAACATAATTAGAGTATATTAGTTGAAAAAAAAAATATACATCGCCTTGCTTCAATGTTAATTCAATTGCGATCATTTCAATCTGCGGTTGTGTTGACGAAATAAAGCAATAATACTCAAAAAATATCATGACAATCCGTGGACACAAAAATGCGGGATAAAGTGCGGCAAATGCCCGATTATATTTTGTTTTGATTCATATTTTTTATGAATTCGACAAAACTGAGCACTTACGGCGCGCCAGTACTGTACGTACCAATGTGGATGCAGTGAAGAATCCTAAGGGTAAACAAATGCCCTGATATATATACTACGGTAGCACCCAAAATTTTGCGATTTGCAATGTCTAAAAAAGCGTTTTTGATCGGTCGCGGGCCATCTCACGAGAAACACCGCTTATGTATCTATCCACGAGTGCGCCGACCCGTGTTTTCGTCAAAAATCCGCAAGTGAGATGTGAAATCAAATCGTTTTATTAAGCGACTATTAGAATAGCAATTAAGTAAATTGCTATTCTAATAGTTGAATATTCGAATATATGCCCAGCCCTACTCAGTATCCGATAATTATTGGCTCAATTAATGTTATATGAATAAACCTGCTTTTTATGTTTTATGTAAATTCTAACGTAAATCGTAACGTGGCTGATGGTTAAGTTTCGCCAAAACTTTTGCGGCCCAAAGTGAATTTCTGGCTCGTTGCGGACTCACTCAAACGCTCTGGAGACTCATTTGGAACCGCGCCCTCGGGTTGGGGAACACTGCTCTACAAAGTCCTGGTCTAGAAATCCTGAATTTTCACAATAAAAATTTTAGCTGGACTATATTATTTTGTAGAAGTTATGAACAGAATGGGCCTAAGTCCAGCTAAAATTTTCATTATTGAGAAATTCAGGATTTCAAGGCCACCTTGTAGATTAGGCTCAAAACCCAAAAATATTGGAAAAAGATAATCCAATTAAAAAGATTACCGGTAAGTTCCAATATAATGGGCATGAACATCAGAGATGAAATGTCCGAAACTTACATCCTTAAGAATTTGTTCAGCGCAACTTAGGCCCAAGTCACTTTGTTTTACCTTGCATACCATACAATAAATTTCAGAAGTTGTTGAGAACAGAATGGGCCAAAATCCTTTATGGGGGTAAAAAAGCATTTAAAGCACATGATTTAATAAAGCTGAAGTGCCAAAAAATATTGATTACAAATATATTCTCATCCACATTAAAATAACCAGAGCTCAGGTTTACTAAGTGTGAATATCTATAAATTCAAAAATAAAAAAATTCCAAATTGTTTTTGAGTTTTCCTTAAACTCAAAATTGTGACGTAGGCCTGTTCTGTTCTCATCCGGCGATATAACAAAGACGAAAAATAAATTTATCCGCTACCTAAATTTATTTTCATCAATAATGAATAAATAAAAACAGCTATCATACTAAGTTTGAATGAAATATACCGCCGGTTTATTGGAAATTTCGAATTATATCATTTGCTAGAATGCACGCATTTTACATGCAAAAAACATTTAGTAATTTTACATAAAATTGGATTCCTCAAACATAAAAATTTCTGAACGGAGGTTGAATTGATAAATTTATATTTTTTATCTGAACCTCTTTGTCCCTTATCCGCATAATTATGAGAATACTTTAATATGGAAGAAAATTATTGATGAAAGTCAATAGTAATTATAACTGCCAACACTGAATCTGTGTATTCTAACAGTTCACATTAGTAAAATATAGGATACAGTCCCCTGGTTTAGTCACAGATTCATACTAATCTCATTTTTGATACTGAACCTGTAATATCGAGTGACAACATATGGTGTCATTGTAAAGCCTCCTCCAGCAGCTCGGGCAAGTCCAAAATCTAGAATTTTTAAAGTGCAGTCTGATCGCACTACAATGTTAGATGGCTTCAAATCTCGATGTATGATACCAGCAGAGTGCAGATGCTTTATTCCACATAATAATTGATACAGAAGATATGATAGTCTCTCATGATCAAGATCCATCTGAATTACCTGATAGTAAAAAACAAAAAAAGGTATTGAACTAAGAACTACCACATTTTACCAGAAAGTCAGACCTTCACCCATAAGCTTAATCTGATTCTGGAAGACCCTTTTTCACATAATTTTTAAAATAAATTATCACAGTACATATAATAGAAGAACTTTTTAACTTTTCAGCTTTTAATAGTTCAATAAATTTTTTTTACAAACACTTATTAATAACCGCTACATATACATAATTTTTTTTAGTCTGCTCAAATATTGAAACTAGGAACTTTTCGACACCTACTAAAAATTTTTTGTTTTATGTATTTTTCAAGAATTGCCAGTATGGACAATTCAGGTATTAATCGAGGCACCTTTTTTACGGTTCTGTTATTTTCAAGAGCCTAACAACAATTTGAATGGGATGGGAATAGACTACTACCACTCGATAATGTCATAATTTCTGTATGAACATGTAGATATAGGGCTTACCAGAAAACCATATGTTTTTACAAGGCCTATTCAAATAGATCATCCAAATTGAAGAATACAATTGAAAAAAGGTTGTACTCGCAGGTCAGTGCATGACCAGATCTTTGATTTGAAGAATAGAACCAGACCGCAGTCCGAAAAAGACTAAGGGTGAGGATTCAAAACACGAGGAAGAAAAGAAAGTCAGCGGATGTGCTAAGCATTAGCTTAGAATGAAGTGGTGAACTGGCATAGATGGACGTTTCCTCATCCTCAGAACTAACCCAACAATTAGCTTTTGAATACTGCTAATAGTCGCTTGAATCAAGCTGTAACAGCTGAAGACGTTCTTTTGAGTGGATGGAAGTATAATAAAATCATTTCGACAAGTATGGAAATAAAAACCGTGTGTGATGGGTAGGGCTGTCCAAGCGAACAGAGTATTCAAAATCGAATCGCAAATTATTCGAGCAATTTTCGGCCAATTTACGAATCGCTAAAATTTGGTACATGATGCGCCTCACGACCACCTTTGCACCGGGCAAGCAAACACATGTTTCTATCGCTTTCTTTTCTGTAAAAAGATCTCTCCTATTGCCCGATGACATGTAATTATCCATTTCATGCATGGTCATGAATGAAAAGTTATCCGTAACAATGATTTAATTAAAGATGACATTTTTTGAGAGAACACAAGGAGAAAGAGGCAAATTTTGTGTCAGCAAAAAAACGCCAGTTCTATAAATAGAATCGATTTGTAGCTGTTGAGTCAGTAATCATAGGAACATGGTATAGGACTGAAACACGTTTTGAAGGTCCAATACCTTTTTCCAATAGGATTGCAATTTCTTCTAATGGCAATACTGTATCATCCATTTATTATTACTATGACAAATAATTGCACTATTGTAAGTTGATGGCTGTTGTACAGCAACAATATGGTCATCAAATAATAATATCATCAAACTAGCTCTAAATTTGTGAGTTCCCGAAATGCAATTTTGAATTTTTTGGGCAAAAGGTATATCTATATTAACAGTTGTTTATCATTTTACTGAAAATTACACAAAAATTATTGAGTTAATAATACTAATGATAATAGGATTAAAATAGCAACTACAGGCATTAAAAGAGTCTGCAATTTCCAACTCTTAAAACTTGATAGTTTTCGAAACCCTAATTTTTTGACCAGTTCCAAGGAGGCTTGTGATATATATTTTTAAAAAAATATTTGATTTTGGACAGCCCTAGTGATGGGAGATCAAGAAGATTTCACTACTACGTCATCAACGGGAAATACTAATTTGCGTTCAATTTCGGCAGGGTTGACTTTTAAAAAATTGAGTCTCGCAAACGAAGTCCACTTTATGCAAAAGGTAAAGGCCAAAAATCCTTATTAACTATATATAATCAGATTTGCTACAAAAATGTTTGCGTGATAACCCACCTTCAAGGAAAAAAATAAAGCAAGGTAAAAAAGCAGGACAGGAATAATAATAAAATTCGTCAACAGTGATCTAACAGTAGCATTTTTAGACAGCTCGAAAAGTGACATCTTTGAAATAGATTTGGATAATGTTGTCTGCTGTTTAAAGATCCAGCACTCACTAGAGACAGAGCAGTGACAAACAAATACAAATATATGGGGGCTGTGGAGTGTGGATGCAAAAGAGACATAGCTGTGCTGCAAATTTTCAGGATGTATATGAATACTGGCTATTCAATGATAATTTCGCTGCATATAACGATACATACCGGTATGTATCATTTAAAAAACAGCTTCATTGATTGTAGAAACTGTGTTAATTCATAGGGTTTCGGATTGAGTAATATTTGTATCTTACAATAAGCACTGGGTTCTAGTTTTTTTTATGGTGGCCCATACTTGACACTGCCTGGCCCATACCTCACATGATATATTTTGTCTGTGTAAATTACATTTTTGTGGAAAAATACATTTTTTTTTCAAAACTACTTCTGAAAACTCCAAAACAATGCTGGGAATAGTTGGCTGTTTTGTCAAACATTCAGTGGGTGAAAGAGTGAATGTGGCCCTCCAAAGTCTGGTGGACCTCTCCACTTTCTCCTATATATGTATATATAGAAAAACCATCAAAAAACACTGAAAATCTTGCTAAAACATTCAAAAACAGTGAAAACCCGTCAAAAAACACTAGAAACCTTGCTAAATGTTCAAAAACAGTTTTGAAAACGTCGTTTTAAGTCAATAACCTTTAAGTTTTGAGCATACACAACATGGCTAATATCGTTGCGATATCTCGGTTTGCAATTTGATGACAACACAGACTATTGTAAAATTTTTCTGTGCCACTTCTCAAAAATTTAAAATGCAACAGCATGTGATATTTAAACATGAAAGATGAATAAATTGAAAATGGACTTTTATGATGAATTGTTATTAGTCAGCTAAGAAAAAATATGAGCTAAGATTTTGTTTTTTTTTCGCTTTGTACTAGTCTCATATGGGAACTCCCAACCTTAAACAACTTTCATGTTTTAGGACTTATCCTAGTAGTAATTGTCAGCTATAACAACTCCAAACTGTTTTAATTCGAATAAACGCAAAAATAAAAATTGCCAACACAGGATTAATTCAATAAAACCATAAAATTTTAAAATAAGCGTAACAGAATCCCTTTTTTGGCTAAAATAATATTTTAATGAATACAATACATATTGACTAGAGCACTCCATGAAAATATCAAGACCTATCTTAGTCAATCATATTGATATATTCACTTCTCAGAATATATTACCTTCCGGTGTGATATTTCCGTATTACCAAGTATTGCGAAGAGATTATATCAAACAAAAACATGACTCTGATAGCGTAGTTCTGAACAATGTTTGGCTATTATTCAATAAACTAAAAATAATAAAAATAGTATTTTTATATTTAGTAGGCTATGTATATTTTTCCATTGATGTTATTTGAACACTCACGAAAATGAACATCAGAAATGACTACATGTTCTAGTTACTGGAAACATTGATGCTGTTCATAATGTACATCCCAGAGGCCTTTCAATGGTAATTTCCTAATAAATTATTCACACCAGAAATTTGCTTCAAAGAAGCATGGCATAGGATCAGAAAGCTTTCTAACAAGTCATTCTCGTCCAATTGCTAGTGACATCTAGGGACAAACACCTGACTGAAGTTGAATAATTCATAGAACTGGATAACTCTGACTCAGCGCTTTTCATGTGGAAAAATAAACTCATGGCCATAGCCATAGGTAGCGAATATATTTCAATCTTTCAGTGTTCAATATTTTGTAAAAGTGCTAACAATGCTCTTACTTGACAAAGGCTTGCATCCATCAGTTCCATTACTAGATATACATGTGAAAAATCATCATATGTACTCTGTGGAGAAAAGACATGTGATAGACGAATTATATTCTTATGATTGACCGCACGCATTAGAACAAGTTCCCTGAACAAAAATCACAATTAAAGTATCCCAAATAAACAAGGTCAAAGCTATAATTTTTATATTTCATTCTGACTGCTTTGCAAGCTGATTTATATACTTGAATTTATCACGAATCGATAAAGATCTGAGCTATAGAGGTTACAGAGGCCCACAATATATTTTAAGTCATCTTGATGAACCTCAGAATCCAAAAAGTAAGCAGATCATATCAGAGTATAAATTTTCTTTTTAATGACTAACCTGTAAGCACGTTTTGCATGTGTCGGATTTTGAAAAGGTCTGCTAAGCTTTTTAATTGCAACATTTTCACTTTTAATGACATCATGGGCAGCACATACCTGAAAAAATTTTCTCAATGTAGACCAAATGTGAATAATACAGCATGACACAAAATTGAGCAACATATTTCATTTCTGATAAGATATAGGTAATGCTGCAATGCTAATAATTTTAAAAATGAGGCAGAGAAATGACCCGAATTGGAATACCCTGGAATGATTATATTTTCAAAATCTTGCGGTGTATTTACCCAAATATCTTTGGACATATCTTGTTGCCAGTGATTAACAGTCAAACTATTGCTACATCATATCATTCCGAAAGTAAATATAATAAAAGTATTACAAGACTCATTGGTTCCCGTCAGTCTCTTGTCAGATATGCAAAGTATGTTATGAGCATGGGTACATAATTACTAACTCAGAACTTTGGATCGAAGTCCGTACTTTGATGTTTTCACATTTTTTATTAGGAATCTATTTTCAATAGCATTTGTTCAGCAAAGAGCACCACAATCATTGAGAGCACATTTCACAAGTTCGAGGCAAATTATTAAAAAAGAAGTGAGGTATAGTATTTCTGTAAAAACTGCAAATGTGTTCATGGCAATACTATAACCCAGTATATTTTGCATGTTTCATTTTTTAGGTTTTGGTATTCTACGATGATTCAAAAATGTGACATGGGCAGCCAGAGGAGTTTCCGAGAACTAACCTATCTTAAAACACACGAGAATATAAATACAATAAACTGGGTACCATTCCTTGTGCTCCAGATCCAATAGGTTTTAAATTTTGGTATCTCTTTAGAACTGTGAAAATAGAATCAGCGACTTGGGTCGTATAATATTGATTAGATAGTTCTTCATTTGACAAATTACTGAAATCAGAAGCTTTTGATGAACTAGAACTGGTTGAAGTCATTCTGACATCAGCTCAACAAGAGGTCTGTCCAACTTTTAATTGTTTCTGGGTTTATGAAGACTACTTATCAGTAGTAGAAAAATGCTTTACTTCAATCACAGTCAATCGATGATCGGGATTTACAAATACAGATCTATATATACTGTTCGATGTTTCTCTTTTTTATTGCATTGTTAGATGGAAAGTCTGTGAATTGAATAGTTGGTACCGTAGTATAAGAAACTGTGTGCAAATACAGTCATGTGACTAAAAAATACAATCAACATTTTATCCTGTTATTGCCCTGGTACTGCAGTCAGGGTTGTCCAAAACGAATCGAATATTCAAACACCTTTTCGGTATAATTCCGAATGATAGCCACTTTTTGCTATATACACGATGTTTTGTTTCGGCGGGAATCTTCAACCGAATTTTTGCGCTTTGTCGCGTGTGGTCATGACGATGAAATAGAATCGGCACTTTGATTGTTCATATTTTGCGCGAGCGTCATCGCATATTCTTGCGACAACTTTGCACGGTTGCGTGGTGGACATTGCAGACATTCCCCTACAAGACTTCTAATTTAAACATTCATTTCCATTGAGTCGAAAATTTGAAAATTACCTATTTAAAGCTGTAATTGTTACGATACCCAATAAATTGTGGCAAGTCGATTTATTAGGAAAAAATAATTCATGCTTTTTGGTTGGTATTTGAAAGTATGGACTTTTTACTAGGATGATTTTGTGTTGCGCAAAATATTCAAATCCAGGACCGATACCACTATTTAAAATGCCTCGCCGTAATAATTTAACTCTGTTAATGTATATCATAGTTGCGTTTTCCTTGTTTATTTCCCGTAACAATGACCAATCAGCAAAAAGTTAACGATGACGTAAATTTTTCGAAGTCGCTCAGACACTTCGTCCACTCAGACAAATATTCGAGTTTTTGCGGATTCGCGTGTTATTTGTCAGTTTTTGGTTGTGTTTCTGAAAATTAGTTGTCAATGGAAGTATTGTCTTCTGATAAGCTTTAGTTTAGTTACAATAATCTAATATGAGTCCCAGGAAAGCTGCGATAGACTATGCTTGACTATGACTGTGTAAGCGGCACGCGGTTGTATATTTTTATAAAAATAATGGCTTTGAGCATGTAAATCAGTCTGTGAATATCAACTCTCCGAAACACTCGCAAAATACGCATCCAAAATTGTGCAATAGTAAAGTATAGGGAGAACATTTCTAAGGTCAAAGGTCAGGGAAACATCCTATGGATCTGTCCATCCTGTGTATGTAAATAGTATCAAAATCATCTAAAACTATAAAACGATGCTTGTGCTGCCAAAATAAACAAGCAGAAACGGTCCAAATTGAATGGTCAAAAGGTCCGGATTCGGACCGCGGTCCACCAGTTGAGTAGCCCTGGTCTATTGTATGCAAATTTTTTCATACACTAAGATAAGCTTCCTTTATTTGAATTTATTTTCGAATGTATTCGATATTTCATATTCGGAAATAATAAATTAGAATGTATTCGAAATAGTGAACTATTCGATATTGGCCATCCTTGACTGCAGTACTAATTCTCCTATTTGTTCTCTTTGCTCCTGTTTACCTTCAGACATTACTGCATTAGGTCTGTCAGTCTGCACTACACTATAGGATAAGTCAGCAAATTTTAAAATTGGGTTAACACTGAAGAACATAAGATAAACCACGAAGCAACAAAGACTGAGAGGTTTGAAGGCAGGACAGCAGGAAGATTTGTCAGAACCAGGGCTGGTGAGCTTGTTCAAAATCACAGTGGCCTCGGAGCTACATTTTTTCACCTGAACTATCTGCCCAAATGCAGTTTGATTAAAGCGGACTCAAAACTAAGATCTTGAGGTTTCAAATTTTAAAATTAAAGTTTTAATTAAACATATATTCAACTTGAGATTATAAATGAATATTATGAATTGAAATTTACAACAATTCATGCGCTGAAAGGATAGATATTATTATATGTATGACATTATAAATGTTAAAATATATTTAGATGGTGCGGAGCTGGAGCCACTAAAATTTCTCTCCGGCTCCATCTAACAATAACATGGTAAGCTTGGCTTCAGCTCCACCAAAATGTCACGGCTCTGTCTGTCTGTGGGCTCCGGCTCCCCAGTCCTAGTTCAGTCTTGTCATGGCTTTTTCCACAAGAAATCGGGCGCACAAATTCCCAGCGTGGGCGCGGCGGTGTGGCTCAACGGGCTAAGCGTTAGGACTACGCACCGCGCCACCGCACCTCTAATTACTCTGCTTGGGCTCGCAGGTTCGAATCCCATGCAGGGATGGTTATGTGCGAGAGGATTGCTGGACTCCTCGCCGTCGTTGGGTGGTTCACGTAACCGCTGGTCGGTTACGGCTTCCTCCACCTCCAAGTCCAGGCTTCCGAAAACAAACAATACACTAAAATTAATCCCATACCCGACTTGGAATGGTAACCAGACGAGAGGTCGTGGTTCGCCATATGGATAATCCGTCTTATCGGCTTTCCTCTTCCCCGGGATAAATATGTAAATCCTATCCTATCCTAGCGTGTAATCAGAGACCGCTGCATGCAACTGAATTTGACTCTAGATCAGTGGTTCTCAAACTTTTTTTATTTGCGGCCGGTTGTAAAAAATAAAGTTATTCTGTAAATGTTGATGCGGTTACTTTAATTACCGGAATGGACCCTAAATTACCGAACGAACCGTAACTGGGTGGAAAATCCACATAAACCTACCGGAACGGACTTTTATATGTCTTGCAAATGCCATATCACATTGTTCCATGCAATTGTTATACTGAATCCGCAAACTTGGGGGGGACAGTGGTAAATTTAATTTTCTTCAATTACCGGAACGGACCCTAAATTGCCGGAACAATTGAGGAACAAATAAGATGGTTCCATTGTTGCCAAGCACACCCGCATTTCGTCGTCACTTCCAAGAAGTTGCTCCCGCAATTATTGCATTTAATTCCAGTCAAAGCAGAAAATCTGCGTTGTGTTCACAAAGCCATGAAGATGGAAATGGCAAGATTATTTTGACAAATACATTATAACAGAAGGGTGGGAATGGAATAAGAAAATCAATCAAATCTATTTGTCGAACTGATATTTTCCCGAAAAGTGAATCTGTCTATAGGCCTACATGTTTAAAGGGTTTATTATTGTGTATTTTGCTTAAAAGTAGCAAAGCATTGTTTCCAAATTTTGTCGGCACGAGGAAGAATTTTGTCGTTAAATTTAGCCGATTTTAGCCTGGCCGACGGGATGAGTCAGAGTTTTCATGGGTCTCGTGTAGTTTCGTACCTAACGTACTTCTAGTGGGCGTAGCATATCAATTTTTTGATATGTCAATCCTAACCCCCGTCTGACTACGCCATCCAAAAATTAAATCATTGCAAAATTTCCGGGGCTTTCTCAAGAGTGCTTTTGCGAGTTGGCGCCTGTAACATGGGGTATGTGTTTCAAATTATCATTATGATTCATCGCATACAACAATCTGTTTTTAAAAGTACCGGTAGAGAACCTCAGCCTAGTCTATCACAGCTATTTCTACACTAATTTTTTATTACTGCAATTAAATCAAAACTCCTAGGAAGACAAAGTGATCATTGAATTATCTGATTTAGATTTAAGTTTCCGAAACGCAACTAAAAACTAACGAATAGAGTTCAAAAACGCGAAAACGAGGTAATGTTTACGACCACGTTTGAAAATGTCCAAGTGAGAAAAGTGTCTGAGCGGAAGGGGAGCATTGTTACGTCACATTTTGCATCTTGTTGATTCGCCAATATCACGAAGTAAACAAGGAAGTCAATGTTCGGGGAAATGTCTATAGCAGTGGTTTCCAAACTGTTTGAAAAAAATTCCATGGCGGACCCCTCGCAATTTTTCAATGATTCCCGGCCCTACGCACTAAAGCAAAACATTAAAAGATCAAAAAAATCATCAAAGCACCGTATAGTGAAACGAACAAAAGAATATAAAGCTCCAGTCTGTTTCGATATTTAGTAAAATTGCAAAAATGCAGCATGAACTGTGACTCTGCAGTTAGTAAAGCTGTTAGCTGTAGTGGATGAATAGAACTTTTTCTGTGATATCACAATGGGGCAGCGTGATCGAAACAGAAAGTGAAAAATCAGTGTCTCCAGCGGTGATAGCAAAGCAGCAAAATACGACAAATGTGTATTTGCAAAATTAGGCCCCTAATTTTTGTATTATCAAACTATTAGCCATATTACGGATTTGTTTCGCGCACCCCACAAAAGTGCTTCACAGACCCCAAAAGGTCCGCGGACCCTATAGTTTGGGAACCACTGGTCTATAGCTCCTAGTTCAATGCTCTTCAACCTTTTTGTTATTGTGGAACCCCTGATATAATTTTTCGAATTTTATGGAACCCCAATTAACAAAATTAAAATAAAACACGAAATTCTTGTAATACGAAATATTTGTAATTTAAATATTTCTACTTCAACAACGAAACAGAAAGAAGGTAACAAGCGTGAAATTCAATTACTAGGTTGTTCTTGCATTTCCTTTGCAATCTTCTTGAATTCTCATACTCATGTCTACACTACTCTTCGAACAAATTCGCAACGACGCATCAACATGCTGAAGCAAGAAATGATTCCCCCCCCCCAAAAAAAAAAAACGCGGAACCCCTAAGGAACCCTATAAACTGACGGAACCCCACTGCATGTATTGCGGAACTCCATTGTTCCGCGGAACCTCTGTTGAAGAGCTCTGTTCTAATTGGCGTGGCATAACCATTTTCGCATACCGAGGGTTTTCGCATGGCATTTCTAACCCCACCTGACGTAGTGACGTAATTTTTGGATGACGTAGCCAGGTACCGGTACTGGACTGGGTTAGGAATCGAAGTACATATGCAAAAATATTTCCGCCACGTCGGTATTTACGGCGTTTAGTGAACATGCGCCCTTATATGTACCGATATGCGTATGTCTGCAATTTGAGAAACGCTGATAGTTTTAGATACGCCTATTCCCGTATTCATCGTCCTCCTTCGGTGGTACCGAACAACCGCCGGCAACCAACTTGCATAGTGTTAAACAAATTCATAGACGCCATCTTGTACATATTTGGGTAACGCGAAACTATGGAGTCTTATGGGAAATTTTCGTTGTGTTGTTGTACCGGATCGAATAAGCCAGCTGGTATTAGGGTTAGTATGCAGCTGAAGGGTGGATTTTGAACTT